CGCCACTGATCGTATGCCCGAGATGGGGAAGGGGTTGAGAGAGGGTTCCCCCTCTCAAATGACATTTTTTTTTAAAGAATAGCAACCTCTGGATGTGACAGAATTATATGTGTTTTATGGTCTGACTGCCCAATGAGCTCTGTCCGACGGGGGTGGGGCTTGACCTGCCCGGGGGACCTAAGCCCCCGTCCGCCCGCTGGCGCTGCCACTGGTCCAAACTGGATTTCTTCGGCGTGATACACACCAAGAATAACCCACGAGCGTTATAAGACACATTTCCAGTGGAGTCCTTTTGTTAGTTGGGCAGTACACCGGGAGGCAATCCCATACTTTTTCCGATGAGTGTACTGCGTTCTTTAACGTGCACTTGGGTCATACTGCACACGTGAAAAAAGGCTTGAACATCTCATCCGAAAGACGGTGCGCTTTTGAAACTTGCATTTCAGCCCTCCAGCTGAAAAACACAAGGAGAGCAGCGATGGGCACTGAACCGGGGACCAGGAGATCTCCACAGATCAGCGCACCATGCCATGAGCCGACTGAGCCAAAGAGTATAGAAATCTTTGACTGAAGTCATGCTCGCTCTAGCTGATCGATAACAACTAGGTCGGTCATCTTCCTAGGTAGCTCCTGTTTATGATATACAACATTAAGTCAGGTAGCTCCTATACAAAGTCTAAATGTTACCTGGACGCCGAAAAGTCTTTACAAATTATATCATTATCATTGTGATAAGTTGCTTTTTAAATTGACATTAATTTCTTCCACCTCGGCGATCATCCTCCATCACGTTACGTAACTCCCGACATTCTGCTTTCCTGCCTTTCTATGCTCGAACCTCTCGATTCCTCAATTCTTTTTCCCTTTGCTTTGTGTTTGCATACAACTGCTCTCTATCCTGCCACATCCTTTCCTTCCGACATTAAAACTCTTCTTTTTATTTGGTCCAATTGGCGGATAATAACCCTTGATGCTGATAAAGCAATACAAACTGAAAATTTAAATTGAAAAATCAAAATTCACGTCAGCTGATTTGAAAGGTTACACAATTTTGAACATTTTTTAAGTCCTTATTTTTTAAAGAAGATCAAAGACTCACAACTTGTGGCATGGGCAGGAGAAATTCATGGTCTCTGGAAGGAATTGGGGCGGAAGGTTAGTAATTGTACATCAGGGCGTAAGTTTAATTAGTTATAGTACACGTTGTATATTATAATTAATCGAATTCGTATTTCGTATTTATTTATTCAGACACACTCAATAACTGTACAAAACAAAAGGCATATAGCAAATACGAGACACGATAGTTGTCAATATCATTATAATAAATATTACCATTCTTAACATTGGATACAGCAATTATAATTTCTTGCTTATTTTTAATGTATTCTTTTCTTTGAAGATTAAAAATGAAGTGAACAGTACTCCCGATCAATTTTCACTGGTGTACGTAGACAGCCCCTTCATTGTGCCCGGTGGCCGATTTCGAGAATTCTACTACTGGTGAGTTACTTCCAATGTAACAATAATAATTCTAATCACAATCATTGTGATAATTTTAAATGACGATACAAATGACGTTAATGATGATTGTATGGATGATAATTAGTTATTTCAATGAAATGGTGTCAATATACATGATGATATCAATATATTATATTATAAGTCACTTTATAGTTATTATTATTACTATTACAGTTACTGATACTGCTGCTGCCAATGATAATGATGATGATGATAATAATAATAATAATAATAATAATAATAATAATAATAATAATAACAATAATTAATAATAGGCCTATAGGTAAAATAGAATTATATTATAGATAAAAATTGTGAAATTTCCACATGGTCACGACCGAATTTGTGCAGCTTTCATTCCTCTTTTAATGCTTGGTGAAAACGCTGTCATCCTTAGTCTGTAATGATAAAGGTGCGTAGCCACATTTGTTCTTTAACGGTTTATAGATACTGTACGCACGACTTTGAAAAACTACTGTAAATGGGCCATTGTCACATTAATTGTCATTCCAAACTGAAAATTGTACTCAGATACCGTAGGAGTTTAATGTTGCGTTTCAGGACATGTAATCACGAAGCAAGATTTTAAAATGAAATATAGCTTTTTAGGAAATGTTTTAAAAATTTGGTATCAAATTAACACGATTTGAAGATTTTATTAGATTTAGCGGCGCAAATGTTTGAAGAAGGGTTGAACATCATTTAGTACAAATCTACGTATAAAAATTGCTACTGGCGTTCATAATAACGAATCGCTGTCGGCTCTTTTCAAAATCCGATACTAGAAACTTTAATGTAAGAACATTTCCGGTAGTAAAATAACAGAAAATGGGACAAAGTCATTAACAGTTCGGAGATCAATAGGAAAAACAGGGAAGGTAGCACAGAAAAGTAAGAAAGATAGGCCATATGTGTTTACGAGGAAGGGTAAATTGCTGTGAAATGACAAGGGACCAATCAACTTGGCGTCGTTATGGGGAGAATTACGTCTAATAGTGGATCGAATGGATATCTGACAGATCTATACTGATCAACAGACCTCTGTTTCCATAGAAACAACATGACCTTGATTATAAAGGATGCAACTTTTCAAAAGGTGGATAAGCTCATATAATGAATGTTATTATTATTATTATATATTATTATTATTATTATTATTATTATTATTATTATTATTATTATTATTATTATTATAGGAGTGATGTTTTTTAACAATTTGTATTATTATTATTATTGTTATTATAATTATTACTATCACAACATTATTATAATTGTCGTTGTTATTATTACAGTTTTATTATAATAGTTGTTGTTGTTAATGTTGGTGTTGTTAGTGTTGTTTAGCCTGGATATCTCTATGTGGCTCTGTAGTTGGAGGTTTTTCTAAAAATTCAATAAGTTACAGGCCTATGTTACAACATTATTATAGGCTTGTTTTAATGGGCTATTTTAAAAACGAACAAATATAGGCTATCTCTTGATTTTGTCTGACTGACTGACTGACTGCAGACATCACTCTTACACAATCACACCAGTTTAGCTGATCTCTACACTAAGAACCAAGAACTATAAGGTACACCAAGGACCAAGAACCAGACCAACAGTATTTACCGTAATTAACTTTACCATACTGGCACTATGTTTTTTTAGGGATTCGTATTGGGTGGTGAAGGGATTACTTATATCTGAGATGTACTCAACAGTACGCGGAATGATTTCAAACTTTGTTAACATTGTAAGGAGGTATGTTAAACGGTTTGTTGTTCTTATTCACCAGCACATTGCTTTCATTAATTTCATTGTCGATTGAGTTCCTATCTTAAAAACTTTATTCTACAGTTTGTTTTCTCACACTTTCGTGTAGGTCTATCTTTGTTTTCCTCTCTTTTGCCCTTTTTTTCTTATTGGTTTCTTTTGATGTACTGTCCACTCGTTCTTGTAACGCTCATTCCCGTTTTCTTTTTCCCTTGCCTGATTTTCCATCAAATATTACATTTTTATTTTTTAACGTGTCCTTTCATGTAGGCCTATTTTTGGTAATTGTTTTATGTTTTCTCCTTTTTTTGAGCCATCAACTTCTTTAATTGTTTTAAATAGCTTTTAATATATTTTTCTAAATTCAAATTGTAATGTTGATTTACTTTTTTTTAAAATTAGTTTTGTCATATTCTTTTAAAAAAAATTAGTTTTGTCTTATTTTTTTTTCTGTAGTATTTGTTTATGTTCATTCTGTGACTGTGCATAAAATAAAAACTAACAAAGAAACAATCCGGCTTCCTCTCTCCTCTCGACAAATTGTCTTTATTTCACGTATCATTAGTATAACATTGTGCAGTATTGTTAATCGTGTTTGTGATGCGTATGCCTAACTATTTACGCAATGCAACATTAAGCAATAATCGGTCGACAACTTCGATTGCATGTCGCAATTATTTAATTTTGTATTGAATACTTATCTTATCTTACATTACTTTCCATTACCGATTCAGATTATTGAATTATATTAATTTTAATACTTTCGGAATGCATATTCCTAGGCATAGCTACCTGTACTCATGTTGTTCGCATCAATGGCGGCGCTACGGCGTAAGGGAGAAACAAATATGTATGTAATTTCTACATAAGTAGACTATCTATTTGTAAAATCGATTAAATAAGCCCCTGAAACCCCTGAATTGTCATATTTTTCGGAGGCTCCATCCCGTGGACCACTTTCGAAACATTTTAGTCGACACCCGACCACGTCCACTTTGCTCTCGTCGGCCAAAACTTATACCTTCCCCTCACTTTCCCCCTCCCCCAGATTTCAGACGCTGGCGCCGCCACTGGTTCGCGTACGTATAATATTACATTTCTCCACTTTGACTTTAGTTCCACGCATACATAATTGCTGATGTATCTTGTTACGAAGTTTGCAATGTGAACCTTGCGTTAGATCAGATTACTAATTTAGTTAAACGTGTTAATCAGTGACGGATCCAGGAATTCAAAATAGAGGGGGCCCAGGGAGGGAGTACCGATGGAGGGTCTAGTCTACCTGAGGCTCACCATGGTTGGGGCTGAGGTAAGAAAATGTATGATTTTGGCACATTTAGATAAGCAGAAATGGCACTCTCGGACAAATTTGAATATAACTTTCTTTTTTCTCTCCATTTTGAAATATAATTTCGAAACATTCTAGTAGGGAGCCCAGTCGACACACTTGAATCTTGTAACGCGTTACGTTGTTCTCATATCGACTTCAGTTTCACTAATTTGTCTAATTGATGATGAAAGTTGTAATGTGTACTTGGCGTTAGTTTATGTAATCTTGTAGCGTTACCGGCGGTACTGTTGTCACACCGCGTTTACATAAAACTTTTCTTTAACACCACAGGTATGGTTTTGTACCAAATGGAGGACGCGTCTATTTTGAGAAACGTAGTCAACCACCGCTTCTAATACCGATTGTACACGAGTATTTGAAGGCATCACGTGACATCGCATTTGTATCTGAAATAATGGATGATTTGGAGACGGAATACGAATTCTGGGTGAAGAACCGTCACGTGACGGTCAGTGTGGACGGAGTGAACCACACATTGAACCAATACAACGTCAAAATGGGAATGCCCAGGTACGAGCAGCATCATCATTTTATTATTATTATTATTATTATTATTATTATTATTATTATTATTATTATTATTATTATTATTATTATTATTATTATCCTACTATTATTTAATAATATTAAATTTCACATTTTGCAGACCTGAATCATACCGTGAAGACGTTGCTACTGCGCATGGGCTGAACAAAGGTAAGCGCAAAATTAGCCCATTTTACTGCGCATGATTGTGTAAACTCCAAATTTGAGAATAAATATTATATCGATGAGCCGCAATTGCTGTATTAAAATGATTATAAAATTGTATTGTTCAATTTTGTAAAGAAAATCCAATATCATGTTGGTTTACAACGGACTTTAATATTTCGTCACCCAATCTGGCAACGATACAAATGCAACAAAAATGGGGAAAAGCAATGAAGCATTAACAATTATATAGGCTTATGTATAAAAAGTTATAACAACACATTTCCAAGAACACTGAGGCTAAAATTGCTTAAAAAATATGAAGAAAATAAGAACAAATTGAGGCTGAGATAAAATGTCAAATGAGGTTTTTATAAAAAAAGATTGAAAAAAAAAACTCCCACAAATCTTAGCTGTACCTTATGTGCAGCGAGCACAGTAATATACTGCTGTTATGTGCACAATTAATAGTTTTATATCTTGGAAAGTGTGTAAGTATAAAATAGGAACATCTTGTGCGCTAAATTGGCAGAAAAAAATTATAATAACACCTGGGCAAAATTTTAAAGGTTTTTACTTTAAAAAAACCAGAAGTGAACAACACTACGTACCCTACAGCTTCTACTTTTAACTCGCATTAATTCTTTTGAATGGAGGATGTTGTTGATACGTGATTGTGAAGTTTCTAAAACCCCATCCAATCTGACCCCCCTCCCTTCAAATTAGCTTGGCTTCAAGTAATGAATTATGAACTCCATGCGTGCAAAATGCTATGATACAACAAAAAATAATATGTATCAAAAATACAGAATGGTATAATATGATATGATATAATAATACACCAGGAGACGATGATATACGATGATATGATATAAAATGATAAGATGCGATATAAGATTTGATATTATATATAATAGAATATAATACGTTACGTTATAATGTGATGGCTATTAAAATATATGATATATATTGATATGAAATCCTATGATATGAAATATGTATGTTATAATGTTAGAAAGCCGTAATAGATTATAATATTAAAGGGCAGTCAATCAACATTTATTTAGATTGGCAGCGTAAATACGAAATAATTTCATTGACGGAATTGTAAACACAATTCATGAAATAACTGCATTAACTACGTTAATCTAGAAATATTCTTTAATCATTATATGATATAAATTTTAATGGATATTTTTTGCTTTACTGGAGCAAGAACGCAAAGTCAAAAACATGATAGTTCTAGGGATTGCGCATACGCTGTTGCTGAAACACAATACCGTAAAACCTCGAATAGATGCCCAATGGGCTTAATCATCTGGAATTGAAGCCTCCTCTTTAGTTTGCAACAGTAGGCTCGAAAAAAGAAGTCAATGGTCTTCCTTTCAAAATAGCATGGGCTTTTTTCGAGATATTACAGTACAGTACACTGTACACTAATTTCAATGCAACAAAATAAATTAAAAACACGCTTGGTTTATAAAGGTTAGGTGATTTAGAACTGGTTAACACATTCCATGATATAGATTGATGTTACAGTAGCCCTATTTATTGTTTTATAGTAGTAATTCCCAAAATTTACAGCATTCATTTTGAAAAGAAGCCCCCTCTTTACTTTGCAAAAGTAGCCTCGAAAAGAAGCCTATCTCGAAAAGAGGCCCATCTAGCTTGTGTATATGAAGAAGACATAACTTTTTGTTAAATTTTGGACTTCAGATGATGCTGCCGAATTATTTTCAAACATTGCATCTGCTTGTGAATCTGGTTGGGATTTTTCTAGTCGCTGGTTCAACTCATCGAATGAATTGATATCAGCACGTACAAAGAATATCATTCCTGTAGATCTGAACAGCTTCCTTTGCCAGAACGAGAAAATTATGTCGGATTTGTATTGGGAACTTGGTACGTATAGTTTCTGTGAATGAGAGAAATAAGGTTGTGAGTATAGCATGATCGTCATCACCACTTTTGGGGAAATAATTTTCAGTAATGCTTGCCCGAAGCTACATTATGCGAGACGCTGATGTCAAAAGCTACTAGGGGTAACGGTAGAGGAACCAGTGTCACGTTGATTTTGGCTCCCCCCATAAATTTAACCCATGACCTAAATCTAGAAATCGGTCACCCTGACTGAAAATTTGCCTCCTATGTCGAAGGAGTGAACTTTTCCCATGTTTACATAATTTGGCTTGGAGTAGGCCAAGAGGGGGAAGGGAGGCCGGATACACGGTGTTGGGAATAAGCATAAATCCATGTGACGCTGTTATTAGCGCTACAGCAAGAGTGCATAAATAGGCCTATTAAAATTCCATTACATATAGTATATTGCATTGTCAGTGGTTTTCCAGCAAAAAAAAAAACAAAAAACCTTTCATCAAGAACTGCAGTAAATGAAACTATGCTTAAACTACAGACCACATGCGAATAGTCTTTGGTTAAACCTATAATTTGTCCAGAGCTCAATTGTAATTAAAGAACTAAAAAAAAAAAAAAAAATAGCCATACCTACATTCACATGCAAAGCGCTGTCCAGACTATCAAATTCAATATGACAAAAACATGTGACATGTCTAAATATGGTCATGATGACATCACACTATGACCATATATAGGCACATTTTGACCACATATAGGCATACAATAGTTTTTTTGTCAAAAAAAAATCTGATCATGATCTGGTAATATAGACAGGGCTTATTACGTTACAAGATATTTTTAACACAAACCGTGCTGAACGGTTTTGGTAAGGCTACTGATGACGATTGTTAACGACCGTGTGTTTGATTTGCTTGTATAATTCCCAAGTTCGTTTAAGATATAATATACATTATTGCCGATTTAAGTAGTAAGTCATAAAGTGCAACGTGCAAATCCCGGTGTCAACTGTTCCCTGAACGCGTGTAATACCAATCAAAGTACAGACAGCTTGTAATAGGTGTTATACATAATCAGTGTAATTGGCTCTTAAATTATTGTCATATAATCATAATGAATAATTTCTCGTGATATAAAGAAGAAAATTAATAACGCGTTAAAAGGATTGTTTGATTATTTGCAACTTAAAATAGAGCCAGTTTGATTTATATATTTTATTTAACCGACGAAGGTGAGACGTCGAAAGCTATACTGTTTCACGATGCTTACGAACGGAGGAGAAATGCTATACATGCAGTCCTGTGGAACGATGTCGAAGGTTCCTGGTTCGACTACGATATAGAGAATAACTCCTTTAACAATAAGTTTTTCGCATCGAACGTGGCGCCTTGGTGGGCCAACTGTTACGGCAGCGGTTACGGAAATGTTGAAATAGAGGGGAAGGTCTTTGAATATTTAAAGGTAGGTTTTATTTGTTATTTTCATTCAATATCAGTAATTCTTAACTAATAGAAGGGTCTACACTTCTGAAGAAGTTAAAGGTAGTCCGCTATTACCTAAGTCTTTCTTATTTCTTGCATCGGGTTGCAGTATATCTATGCGAAGCACGGTATTAACGTTCTTGCGGGATTTTTCTTCTCTCAGAGAACTGGAGTTTTAGACTATCCCGGAGGAGTACCCACATCACTTGTTAACACCGGTGAACAGTGGGATTACCCTAATGCTTGGCCTCCACTCCAGGACATGGTAATCGAAGCATTAGGCTCGTCAGTGTTGCCGGAGGCCAGAGACGCTGCAGTGCGTCTGGCGCAGAATTGGACTATTACAAATTGGAGGGCTTATAAACTAAACGAAGTTATGTACGAAAAGGTGAATAGGTTTTGATTCTTTAAATATATTATATATAAAATGTATAGCCGGTAGAAATTTGTAAAGCAACTATACGTTTACACAATATTGTTGTGAATACTTGTGAGGGCACAAGTACAAAATTCAAGGTCTACGGCATTTATTTACGTTCATTTCGATACATTTGCGTGCTTTGAGCACGCATGACGTCGCCCTCAATCTTACGTTACAAGGGAGTGCTTATTTGCGTTTCAATACTCAAAGCGGTCTTAGGGAAGACTGTTTTATAGCAATGGTCTTAGAGGAATGACTTTAGTAAGACCGTCTAAGGGATAAATCCGGCTTTATTCAAGGAGTTAAAGACTACTAGTTAAGACCGTTTTATAGCAATACGCCCCAGGGTTCGATCCCTATCACTGTACAGGATTTTTTTTTTTCACAACCCAAATCATCGCCACTCCTAGACTTGCCACAAGTCTCTTATTTTTTATTATTTTTCTCATTCTGGACAGCGCCACCAACGAGAAAGTTAATTTAGAGACGGAATAAGCGACTTGTAAAACACTGAAATCAGGCACCAG